TGCGTTGCTGCAATAAGCTGCAGTCGGCAATCGGCTGAGCGAAAGAGTTCGGGTTGCTGAAGCAGCAGCAGCAGCAGCAGCAAACTGTAAGCTGAAACTGTTTCTCTATATATATGCATGCGTGTGTGTGCGGGTGTGAATGAGAGAGTGAGTGAGTGTGCTTGAGTATGTCTGTGCGCCAGCACACAGTTTGATTTCAATTGGACACCATATTAGCTAAGTGGACCACTTTGGCGAGAGGCTTCAATTGATATTTAAAACGCAAATTGCAGCGGGAAATTTAGATGAATTTTTTTAAAGATGATTTACATGATCACATATATATTTTCAGTACAAAAATATAGAAATGTATACATATTTTTAAGATTTAAAATCATTTTAATATTTAAGTTTAAGCCACTCAAAACTAACTTTGAAAGATCAAAATCTCTTATAAAGTTTGAGCCCTCCAAAGTTACTTATATAAGTCAAGGTGCATTGAAGGACATTTATATATATATATATATATATAGATATTGAAATAAAATACAATGGCAAACCAATAATTATTATTGGTCTTATTTAACACGAGTATATCAGGGATATGGCATGTGCACAATATTTTTGTTGAACCCGCATTTACTTTGTATTTAGTTCTCTGTCGCAACGTTCGCTTTGGCTAGTTCAAGCCAAGCGGCACAATTAAACACATGCAACACTCACAGAACCACACACACACAGACAAATTTTCCTCTCGCTCAAAATCAACAACAGAGTGCATTAGCTGAGCGGCAGTAGGTGCCGGAGGTGTGTCCCAAGCTTTGCATGAATGAATAGAAAAGCGGGCAATAGCCGTACTCATCCACTTGAATTGTTGTTACGACCTCGTTGTTTGGGCTTGTTATCCTCCAGCACAAAAGTTTCTCAATCAGTTCAGGTATTGAAATAGTCGCAAGTGGCAAGTAATAGTCCGATAAGTGAACCGTATATCCATATAATGTTAGCTGTGCCAATGTCCTGTTGGCCCTCGGCTAAGTTTAGAGAGACTCTCAAAGGACAGACAGACAGACAGCTAGATGGAGGAACTATCGAGCACATGTGGTGAGCACATTCTGCAAATGTTATTGACATTTTCGATTCGTTACGAATCGTCGTCATGCGAAACAATATAATGCGAACGCTATTTGTGAGATGTCTTTTAATAAATATCTTTCATAGATACATATGTGTTTATGTGTTATATAATTCAGTTTGTGGTCCTATATCGGTTACTTAAACTTTCATATCTAAGAGTTAAAGTTTAGTTTTTGTTCTTCTTTGGGCATCTGTAAAACCTGTTTACATAATTCCTGTCCTGTCAGCTCAGCACTCACTTGTCTCATATATGTATATTCCTTAGCTTATACAATTTATGTGCCTTACTCCAGCTGTCAATGCACGCGATTTCCATGTCCGTGGCTCACCTTTCATGCCCAGTTATCCCCTTCCCCATTCGCCATTTTCTTGAAACTCTCCCTTTACAATTTCGCTAATGAAATGTATCTTCGCCTTTGGCTTTGAACGCTTATGACAAGGTTATTAATTACGTTTATTGCGTACTGTTTGACTGTTTCTCTTCTTCGGTAGCTGCTGCCAACGCTTTTTCCGTCGCCATCGATCAAAAATGTTGAAATATTCATATTTATGAATTCTAACGAAGGTGTCAATAAGCAAAACACACATTGCCATAAATAACAGCAATTGTTACACATTCATCTTTGTGTGCATGTGTGGATACCTTAACAGTACTTAACATAATGTGATTATCTATCTCAGAATTTCTCAGAGTCGGCACATCCTTAAATTTGTCTTATTAAGTGCTCTGAATGGGTCCTTAACCAAAAGGCTAAGAGCTGCTTGAGCATAAAATCAACATAAATCGAAATACACAGTACAGTAGATAAGTTATCAAATCACAAAAAAATAATAAATAATTATATTATATAAGTTGATTTTAGAAAATAATAATATTAATTCAAATATGCCTAATTTATTGCAGCAAAATTATTCAATAATTTATATTTTCAATGTTTAATGATTTATTAAATTTGCTGATTACGCTGCTTTTAATAATTTTGGTTATGAATTATAAAAAAAAAATATTAAAACTGGTATGCCATAAAAACTTCACGTTTAACATATATGAGCAAAGAAGTGCAATAAAAGTGATACAAAACTGTAAGAAATAATAAAAACGAACAAAGGAAGACATACGAAACATTAAAATATAACTTATAATTAACATATTTTAATATATGTTTTCATTTATGATAATGCGACATGTTATCATGATCAAAAGTAAAATTCTTTGCTCATATGCATTCAGAAATTTTTGGTATACTAAGAAGTTTAACTTAACGAGAGTAGTATGTAAATTTAAATATAAAAAATATATGTATAATAAAAACATGTTATTTAAATAATTCATAAATAATATACTTATACTATTATAGCAAAACAAATAATGCATATAAAATATACATTTAAAAATGAATTGTATATATATTATTGAAAAATTAAAAAAAAAAAAAAAAAAAAAAAAATAATATATATAATAAATAAAAAATAAAATAAAAATAAGAAAATAAAAATAATAAAATAAAACCTAAGAATAAAAAAGTTAAATGTAAAAAGTTTAAAACCTATTAAAAATTAAATGTAGTAGTATTTAATGAATAATATAAAATATTTAAACAATTACAGACATGTATTGTTTGACAAACGTTCTGAAGGACAACGGATTTAGTTATTAAGAACCTTTAATCATACATAACATTGTTTATCCCTAAAGTTTTTGAACCAAATCAATGTTAATTTATTCATATTGTTATTTAATTTGTTTAGATTACTTCGAATACCTCTTCAACCATAACAACTTTGATTTATTGTTTTTCAAAATACTTATATGTATAAATTAAAAACTGATTTTACATTAATGAAAGCGTGTGCTTTTTCATGCGTTCGTTATTTTGCTTTTTCATTAATCTGCATGAGTGTCTGTTTATTTTTTCACTTTTTTCGTTTTGTAGCCACAAATCGATAGCTTAATTAAGCGTGAGCATTTCTCGGGCTTTTATTAATAGGTTATTTGCCTTGGCTCGCATCCGAAGCCCGGTTAACTAAACTCCTCGATTGGGCCATCCACGGGTCCACAGGTCAATTAGTCAAAAAGGCTGCCAAGCGAGATGCTGTTCGTTTTACTGTTCCGCATCCTGCTGTGCCATTCCAGATTGCCAGACCGTGGCCAATCAATGCCAATATATCGATACACTATATATATACATATAAATATGTTTATTTTTTACATGTTTAGCTAAGTGTGCCTTAAAGCTGTTCAAATTGACACATGTCTTCGGCTGCCCAATTTATGAATCGCCTTCGGGCATTCGAAATGTAGAAGGTTAAAGTTACAAATATGTGCTTTAATATTTTGCAAAAGTCGATGGTACAAGGGCATGTCTCGAAGCAGCACCAGCATGAGGTGCAAAATGTTTTAGATTACAAACTTAACTCGATTTGCAGCCTCAACGAGCGAACGCTCGAAAGTATGCAACAAGTTTTTCTATTTTCTGGCCTTGGTGCAAAAGCCCTTGAGGAGTGAAAATCTGAGATTCCTCACCAGTTTATGGTGCTCAAATTTATCTTCGCCAGGTCGGCTGGATGCTGTTTTCTTTGCAATTACAAATTACGCATACGCCATGGCTGACGGCAGCTGATGACAGGACTCTGGGCGCTTGAGGCTAAAAATTACAAGCAGAGTGCATACGCTGCTGACACATTGCGTGCCACGCCCACTTAAAAGTGGTAAGTGTGCGAGTGCGCTTTTATGTATGTGTATGTGTGTGCCAGTGCTCAGGTTGAAGCGAATGAGCTTCCATTATGAGCTTTGCCATGTGTCTCGCTGTGAGCAGTTGCATGTTTGTTGACATCCTTTTAGGACTCGTCATAATAATAATAAAATGCTGCTGCCACACACACACACACACACACACACAGACACACACACATAAATACACACATTTACACACTTCTCTTGCTGTCAGTGCAGCTGAGCGGCAACAATGGCAATTGTCTTGAGTTGACACCAACAACAGCTCGACACAGTTGAAGCTCGCGTGTTGCGCTTTTTGTGCTCATCTTTTGGGGTTTCTAGGGGCCTTCAGATCTATTACAGTTAACAGTAGCTGTCGACTTGAAAAACTTACCGGCAACTGACTTAAATCTGGTAAACAACCAGAGTGAAAAACATGCAAGTTTAAGTTTGCAGACTATTTGTAGATTAAAAAAAATTATAAAAACAAAAATCAATAACGTCATATTAAATTTAAAGAGAATTCTGTTTCATTTAAATTATTATAAATATATTTAATAAAAAAAAATAAAATAAAATAAAGTCTAAACAAAAGTTGAGTACCTTCACAAAAATGTCTCACTTAATGCAATTTCTCTATTACAATTGCCAGCCAAGCGCTATATTAGCTCATTTTTCAAACCACTAAAAAACAAAACAAAAATGGAAAAACAATGCACATGCAGATACGACTGCACAATGAATCCATGTGTACACACACATACGCACACACTAGAACTTACATGCATACATATGAGATATTTATGCACAATGAGCATGAGCGAAAACGACCCAAAAAAACAAAAGGCTTTCTGCCTGATGGAGCTGAATAAGAGATTGTGAATAATTTGCCATAGTTCGCAACGCCACTTGACACAATATTTGGGAATAGAATTCACAAAATTTAGAATAGACCCTAAAATGAATTAAAATTGTGTTGCTGTTCGATCTCTGTCATAGGCAGCTGCAGCTAATCAATTCAGCTCTTTGACTTTGGCTTTGACACGGCCAATCGATCAATTTAGCTCATCAAGTTTCAATTACCGGAATTCCGTGTGAGTTGACCACAGTCAAATATTTGTTAATTACCTAACCATAGCGAGAAATCATGCTTTGAATTGTAGATACTTACCGCAAACAAAGATCGAGAACTGTAAACAAAAATAAAAGGAAATTGGATCAGTATTAGATTTTACCAAAAATATATTGAATATATATTTAGAGAAATACTTAAAAATATTTCATTGTATATACATACAAAAGCTATGAACTAAGCACAGTCTTCTATTTAGTTCACATTTATAATATACAAACTAAATGAAAACTTTCAGCATTAGAAAAATTCTTGGATTACAATTAAATTGCTGAGAAACTTTTCCTTTTTTACTGAAACCGCTATAAATAGCAGTCAATTAGCTGTTACTAAAAAAACAAAAAGATATAGCATAAATAGCTTAGACACACCCACTCACACACACCCCCACACACACCCCCGCACACATTCAGTTGAACTATAGAAAAGAAAAGGCACATCTGCATCCCGGGCTGTGCAATCTGAAAAGCTCGCATTTATGCAGTGCAGAGTAAAGGCTTTTTGCATGTTGCCTGGTTACTTGTGTGTATGTGTATTTTTATCTATTGCCCTGACTTGTTAAAGGACACTCTAAAGGCAGTGAATCAGCGCCTGCAGTCAGCCCAAACAAAATAGAGGTTTTGCGTTGCGAAATTGTTTACTTAAAGTTTTCATTTCGAGCGCGATTTTACAGCAGGGACTACCCCTAATGGATGCACCAAAAGCCAGCGTCAATTAAAATATGCAATTTAAAATCCCTTTCAAAAACTCATTGCATGCTGATTATTGATGAGCATGGGCAGAGCAGCAGCAGCAGCAGCAGCAGCTTCAAAATACTCCGCAGCGCATAATTAACTCTGAGAGCAATATTCACACAGCTTACTCTGAGCATTATTTATTACATGCAGCGGCTTTAGTTTTCAAATTAAAATACAGTTTTAAAATATTAATGGGTTTTACTTTAAACTTTTGAATCGTTCTTAAATGAAAATTAATTAATGGGAGTTCCATTTTACACTTAGTTTTACAAAGTAAAAGTGGAGATATAAAAATGTAATCAAGAAAAAAAAAAGTTAAATAAAAAACAAGTAAGAAGGCTCTAGTCGAGACTGCTCGACTAGGAGATACCCTGAACCCTCTAAGCTGATATTCTAATCATTCTGCCTTTTTAAGGCACACATACATACACATGCATCCACACGCACGCATAAGCCTGCGCTCTGCTAACTGCGCAGTAAGCAGCGACTGCGCTTGGGCTGCGCTGCAGTGTGGGCATATTATGAGAATTTATTTGTTGAATAATTTCTTTTGTAGACATAAGATCTTAATGAAACTTTCAGAGTGTAATCATATGATGAATATGTGTGTACATTCCAAAGGACAAGTCTCTAGTACTTGAATCGGGGGGAAAGGGGGCGTGGTATCCAAAATCTGTAAATTACAAAATCTTTGTATCCATTAACTCTATATACAACGCAAATTTGAAGTCTCCAGGTCTAAAAGTGTTCAAATTAGGCTGAAAAAACAATGCCGATTTTTCGATTATTCTCGATAAAAAAGTTATCGGATGAATTATCGAAAAAATAAAGCAAACTCGTACTGCGTATGGTACACACGAGTATGCATGCCAAATTTCAGCTCTCTAGCTCTTATAACTTCTGAGATCGACGCACTCATACGGACGGACGGACGGACGGACGGACGGACAGACGGACAGGGCTATATCAACTCAGCTCGTCGCGCTGATCAAGAATATATATACTTTATGGGGTCTGCCACGCCTCCTTCTGCCCGTTACATACTTTTTCACAAAACCATTATACCCTGATTTCCCATTTTCAATGGGTTCAGGGTATAAAAATATATATATATATAGATATAGCTATAGTATAATAAATTTAATAAATATATAAAGAAATATACAATATTATAAATAATTAATAAATTAATTATATATATACTATATCAAATGAGCTATATATATAAAAATATATATACTTGCAGATAATCGTTGATCGTGTCTCGACCTCTGCAAATAAGTTCATTGGTATTGGAATTACTAGCGTACGTGTATTGAGTGTGTGTATGTGTGCGTGAGCGACAATCGTATTGCTCTCTAAATGATGTTCGTGATAAGAGCTTAGAACGAATAATTCAATCGAAGGCGCTCAACAGAAAAACGGAAACGAAAAGAACCGAAAGCTCTTGCTCAGAGCGAGCGCAATTGAATATGATTTTTCAGTTCATCTCGCGAAAAGAGCGTAAAGAATATACTGTTAAACACTTATTCTATACAGTTAAATTAGAAAACAAAAAATTAATTAAAATAACAAACCATTGAATGGCCAATTTATGGTCAAGTTTATTTAAAATAAATAAGATTTTCATTTATAAATTTACTTATGTTAGGCTAAGACAACGGATCAGCGAAAATAAGGAACTACCTAATATAATTATGATTACTCTTCTGTTATTATTTAAGTGCTGCTTTACAATGTTTAATATATGCTTAAATATAATTTCGATTATGACCACATGATTGTTGGCCAATTGCAATTCGTTAACGGCACACACTCGCTGCTGAGCGCGCAGTCAAACAGCGAATTGTTGGTTAACCAAATCAAATAAGCAACTGATTGCAATGGCCAAGCGCACATTAGCCACAGTTGTGTGCGCCTTGTCGCTAATTGTGTTCGAGCTGCGGCTAGCCAATCGTGATGGACACGCCGTGCGCTCAGCTGCATATATTTTGGCATATGCTATGCTCGCTGGGTGCATTTCCTTAAGGCCACTTCGATTTGCCTTTCGGTGTTGTTGCGGAAATGATTGCACTCCGCATTGGACAGCAGCGCAGAAGACCGCAACCGCAAAAGACGAAATTGACTATTGACAATGCGCATAACACACACACACACACACACACACATAGGTACACACGTCTACTTGCACACAGATATCGGGAAAGAGATTTTCAATTGTACAGGACAAACAAATTTAGTGGGAATCAAGAACCAAACTTTACTTTATTATGGAGCAGACTTGTGTTAGTATTTGTTTGAGATGAGTTGAGATAAAATCATAAGTTTAGGTTTAAATTTCTTACTAAAAAGAGTTTCAAAGTTTCCTTTACCTCTAAGGCTCCTTTAAAATTATTTATATATATTTTTGTAACCTAAATATTTGATGAAATTTCTATGAGGATACAAGGAGAAAAGGGCAGGGTCTAGTCAATTCAAAAGAATATACAGTCAAGTCTCGATAATTTGTTAAAAATTTTATTCACTTGAACAAAAATTCTCGATAACTTGAATTTTCTTATAAATCGAAAAAAAAAAAAAAAAAAACTGATCTCGACTGTATCAATAATAACATATTTATCCTTATCTACATTCATGCTTGATCATTCTGTGGTTAAAATATGACAGATAGACTAACACACATATATTAAAATAAATCTTTATTAATAATATGCCGTTCTCATATGAATCTTTAAGTCTAGTTGAAAAATATTTTACAAAACCTATCGAAATGAGGTCACATTGGTATCGAGTTCAGGTTGGTCGTTTCCAAGGTAAGCTCCCAATTATGGTTATTCAATATCGTTGACCTGTGTTCTATGACTGAAAAGTTGTTCGCAATTGATAATGAAAACATTACGACTTTCTATCATTTCATTTAGCGTTCGTTTAACTGTAATTACATAGAATTGTTTTATGGCCTTGTCATATGAGCTGCTCGTTATTGCTAGTCGTCCACACTTAAGTTGGCTATGCATTTTTTATGAATCGTCTTCGATTGCGACGTTTGTGGGACAGGCAGGACAGAACACGCTCAGGTATCGTGACCCAGTTGGCACTCGGACTTCTATAGGTCAAAGTTAATCGCAATTATTTATCAATTTGCATGCACAGCAGGTTTAAAGCCACTCAGCTCCTGTTCAAGTTGAAGTTGACTGCTTCCTTAGCGTATATTGCACTCAATATTATCTAGGGGGTCATTCTGAGTGGAACGCCATGAAATTGTTAATTGATATTGCATTGCAACTCATCGATTATTAAATCTCTCTCTTGGGAAAGTCGCGTGAATTGTATTTGAAAATGAATGGAAATGAAGAGAACGTCAAGTGAATGGCTGTGAAATACTCTGAAGGGAGTTGATATATGCATCAATATTTGTTTGTTTGTTTTTATATTATACAGTAGGTAGTAGGATATTAGTTTTAATCCATAAAAAGAATATTTTTCTAGAAAAAATAAAGAAATTATTAAAAAAAAAAATTTTTTTTAAATACATATTTTTTTAATAATTAACTAACGCCTTTGTACGTTAGCCTTATCCTGATTTCCCTTTACCAATAAATCAACCAACCTCAGTTTATAGGCTATTTTAACGTCAACCAATTTTATTTGCCATTTTCAGGTATATTTTCAGCCAGATATTTCGCAATTTTGGTGCCTTTTGTGTTGTAATAATAAATAAATTGCAGCTTAAATAACATAAATTCCAAATGACAGTTAATACGTGGTAAATGCAAAATAAATATGCTTTCATGGCGCCAATCTGCAGTTCGCGTGGGTGCACATAAAATTGCGCATACGCCATGCTGCACACGCGCTGCATTTTGGAATGCGTTGTAAATGTAATAGCTAAAAATGCACAAAATATGTTTGGCCCGACAATATTTTAATAGCACTTAGCCCATGTTTGACGCCGAGAGGAGAGCCCACCCCCTCTCCGTGTGGTTTATGTTCTGTCAATTTTTTGATGGCCACTTTGCGACACTTTATATGCCGTAATATTTCTGTTTTCAATACTCCATTCACTTGTTTATGGTAAAACGATTCGGCGCACCGGAAAGTGGTTTGCCAGCAATAAATATTTGTATTTCCCTTATATTTTGGGTGGCTTTATAAATTGAATGAGAGTGAGCCTGAGTGAGTGAGTCAAGTGTGCCTGGGGGAAGCTGTGTAAAATGTGAGAGAATGCCCCAGGCGTGAATTTTAATTTGATGCAATTCAGTTATCAACAACTGAACTGTACTTAAGAGTGGGCGAATTTAAAGCCAGAAGAGTGTGAAAA